TTTGCTTAAAACGACGAGAAATTGATTCAATGAAAATTACTTTAGATTCGAAAACCGCCATTTTGTATATTCTTTGCAAAAAAAAAACTTATCTACATGCCTATGTTCATACATATGTACAATAAGGTAGATTACCAAAAAAAAAGTTGCGATTTATTAGATTTTAAGGCGTCTGCCAAAATATTTCGGAAAATAATAAGATTATTTTGATTCTAAGCTTAAGCACTTCTATCATCCGAGGTGATTGTTTAGACAAAAAAAATTTAAAAACTTGTTTTTATATAAAACAAAGCTCAGTTTTTGGAGGTATTTCGTAACAGGTAAATCTTAATACTTTTCAGAAATATTTTAGCGGAAGTCTTAAATATAATAGTAAATTTTATATTTCCGAAGGGAAAGCAATACCGATTTTTTGTATGGAGAGTGTGGAGAGTAATGTACAGTAAATATTTTTTTTAAATAATTACCTAATGTTAAAAATACCAAATATAAGTATGTTGACCTTTATCACTCTTCAGGGCAGTGTTGCCGTTGAGAATTTTCAGAAAGTCGCAAAAAAGGGGTCATTGACGAAACAGGGGTCACCATATTATTTTTAACCGACTTCAAAAAAGGAGGAGGTTATCAATTCTTCGGAATATATATTGTTTTTTTGTATGTTACCGCAAAGTATGCCGATTTATATAATTCTATAATTTTTTAAAGGAAAGGTGGTGCCTCAAAGTTGGTTCCATGCTATTCTGGTTTAGATCCGGTATATGGATCATGAAGAAATTATCTGCACTCTTAAATTTTTATACGAGAGTTGAAGTCGGTTTTGTTTTTTGCTCAAAAAAAAATCCAGTTGCTGCTAGAAGAAGAGTTGCATATCCTTTAAAAGTTTTATGTGATGCATTTTTTCCGTACTTACAGGAGGGAATATTTTTTTATAGCATGGTTTCGTTAACATTTCCTAAAAAAATTCTCTGAAATGGGGCAAAAGTCGCCCATACTTTAGGACAAGGTTCAAGAATCTAAATTTTCAAAAAGTCGAATCAAAGGGTATTGGCGCTTAAAAAGGGTCAAAATGCTCCTTTTGTCGCACAACGGCAACACTGCTTCAGGGTAAGGTGTTTCGAAGGATTTAAGTTTTCATCAGCGCTTCAAATCACTCCAAAGATCGGTTCGGCTCGGTTCAGTGTTTCGAACCACTCAGAAAAAGCATTTACCGGTTCAAGAACCGGTTCATGAGTATTCCAGAACCGCGGATCGGTTCGGTTCAAATGGTTCAATTTTTTTAGTACTAAAGGAAACAAATATTTAAAAAATATGACAAATCTAAGTATATTAAAATAAAAGGCTTTGTTATTGAGATTAAATTCAAATATCCACATGTATAGTGGCGAAAAACTAAATAGGGTAAAGTATAGTAGTTCATCGTCTAACAAAAACTAAATAAATCCAAATTTAAAACTTTGTTCAAAAATTATGAAAATTTTTCAAGTTTCATATGCATTCTAATAAGAATTTCTTTAAAAAAAAATAGTCTAGTCGAGTAGAGAAAAACAACACACTCGTAATTTTGCATTGACACTCACAATCTTGTCTTAATGTTGAAACCCTCATTTTCAGTAGGTTGGAGCTTACACTAGGCTTTAACCTCATATATACAAATATACCTATGGTCAAATAAAAATGATTGCGATATCTGATCATTTCATTTTGTTGGTTTTAAATACTTTTTTATAAAAGTGTAGCTCGCTATATAACAACAACCATATAAATCCAAATTTCAAACGATTTGTACGAAAATTAGAAAAAATCTACCAACTTCAACAAAATTTAACTATAGTTTCAAATTTTTTAATCATTCAATTTTAGTGTAATATGTTAAGTGCAAGTTTGAATTACATACCTTAAAATTCGCACCAATTTTTTCATTTGCGTTTTCTTCCATATAAAAACATTTCAAGCATTTTTTATATGGACGAAATTATAACTCACAGAGGTGCCATTGCAGTTTTACCATAGGGTTGTATTTTGAAACAAGGCTGTGTTTTAAAAAATCTGCAAAATCTCTTAGTGGATTTTGAACCGAACCGACCCTGTTCGTGGTTCTCTTCGAAACCGGTTTGGAGCCTTGGTTTTGCTGCATAAAAAGTCCATTAGAAAGATTCAATAAGTTTAATTTTGAAAGGCTCTTAAGAAATGAGAAGAGCTTCTCCTAGGCATCAGGTTACTCTAGAACCTTTTGAAAAATTGTTTTCCATATTTTTGTTCTTCTCAGCTTGGGCTCAACTTTTGGAGGGGATTCTAAAGTAAGATACGCTTTTGTAGGTTATCTTCGTGCTATTAATGAAATATTGACGAGCTATGAGAGGGTTCGTATACAAAAATATACGAGTGCAATAGTTTTTTAGGTACACTTGTCCGATTTTAGGTAAACTTTTTCCTTGAAATTGGTACAATTTGAAAATTTTCCATCTCCGCTTTTTTGATTTTAATATAGAAACCTAACGCGAAAAGCTTTCCGTGACTTTTTCGGGTCTTTTTTCTTTCATGGCGATTTTTTCGAGATTTGGCGGTGTTCTTTTTTTCTATTAATATTCAAACATTTTCGTGATTTTTGAGCACCTTTCGCGAATTTCCGGTTAAAAGTTTAATTTTTTTTTTTTTTTTTATAAATGCTTAACAAAAAAATTGCCGATTATTTTTCGCTCAAAAAATATCAGGCAAAAAAAAAATACAGTGACACGTGCGTTTAACTATATATATACATATATATGTATATTTGCGTATATTCCAATGAATTTATCATACTCTCATAAAAATTTGAAATAATAAAAGACATCAAACTCAAACAAACCAGCATGGGGTACGAACATAAAAATATCTACGCCCAAACTATTTGTACAAGAAGAATTGTTCATTATCCACGAAGCTAATCATTGAACTCTGCAAATTCTCAAATATGTATCTGTGTAGATATTTTTAACTTTTACGCAAATTGATCAAGAAGAAATCTTTAATTAGTGGCAACAAAGAAAATTGCGAATCGCATTAATCTTTAGTTATGTGCTATTTACTACCTACCTACCAAGTAAGAAATATTTCCAAGTTTGTTTTCCTACTTAAACGCGATGAATTAGCTTTGATTTGCCAGCAACATTCACTTGTTGACAGCCGGCATGAGTGATAAATCCGGCAAGCACCTATGAGTATCGTTAAAAGCTAACATTCGTTAAAATATTTATGTATGTATGTATGTACTTATGTATGCCTACGTGATTGAACTGCATTCTACATATATTCTACATATATATATATACATTCACACACATTCGTTGAGGTGCAACTGTGGCTCAACAACCAACCATACATGATCTATTTGTAATTAGCATTATGCGAAGCGAATACGGATGCTTTTGTCGCTACTTGACCATATCTCATTATGACTGCTTTCGAAGGAATTTCATCAAGGAAGTTTCGCCTAGGGTCAGAGTTTAATCAAATTCCCTTTCACGGGAGTTCAAATAGTTCAAAGTCGCTAATTAAATTAAGATAAATATCTGGCGTCGGTTAGGCATTGAGAATTTCAAGTAAGTTACATGTGTGTGTGTGTTTTCTACGCATTATTTTAAATTAAATTAAAAGCTCTAAAAAAAGATGCTAGCATAAGTATAGGAGAGGCTTAACAATTTTATTTCACATATGTAGAAAAAAGAATAAATTTTATGTTTTTTGTCATCCCATAAATCTTTCGTTGCCAATGCAAAATGTTCTCTCATATTCGTTCGATAGCCTTATGTGGAAAGCATTCTGTAGAAAATACTAGTCGTCGAAGTGCTGCGGATGATATTCGCCATAGTGCTACTGAAGAAGACGACAAAAGTCCAAGCACGAGGAATATAAATAATGCTTTACGA